ACAAGAAAAAAGTCTGTGTTCACTACAGATGCAAGGTTTATTTTGAATACTTTAGATCTGTGATGTTTGACTCTCAGGAAGCAAAATGTAAGACTATAGAGATCAGATAAAGATTGTTTAAACTTATTCCTTCTGACTGAAATTTTTTGGCCTTTGACCAATATTTCCCCAGCTTCAAAGCTGTTGCTGAACTCTTCTACCATGTAAATAAAAATTAGAACCTTGTTGGGGGTTGGGGATTTGGCTCAGTGGCAGAGCGCTTGCCTAGCAAATGCAAGGCCCTGGGTTCAGACCTCAGCTCTGAAAAATAAATAAATAAAAAATAAAAATAAAAAGACAAAATAACAAAAATTGGAAACTTGCTTACATTTTTTACAAGATATACCTTCACTGGGGCTGGAAATTTTAAACTTGATTTTAGAAATTTTGATGAAAAACCTCATACACATAAAAGGATCTGTATGTACATGTGTATACATGCATGCATTTGTGTACATGTGTGCTCCTTATCCAGTTTAGAAAATGCTTTTATGTATATGAGTGTTTTACCTGCATGTATGCACCCATGTCGTGCAATGTCCACAGAGGCCAGAAGAGGGGTCAGATTCCCTGGAACTGGAGCTACTGATAGTTGTTAGCTGCCATGGATATTGTGAACTGAACCTGGGTCCACTGGAAGAGCAGCCTGTGCTGTGCTTGTAACTGCTGAGCCATCTCTCCAGTCTCATAGATGTTTTAAATAACTTTTAATGTCTTTCTTAATTTTATCCTCTTTTTCCTACTACAAATTAAACCACAAACCTAATTTATTGACTTTTTTTAAAGATAAGGTCTCATGTAACCAGGCTAGCCCCAAACTTACTATGTAGCAAGGATGACCTTGAAGTTATAATCTTTCTACCTCTGCCTGGGTAGTGGGACTACAGGCAAGCACTAACATGCCTAGTCTTATGAGGTGCTGGGGATCAAACCCAGAACTTTGTGCATTCTAGGAAAGCAGTCTACCAACTGAACTAGATCCCTGGGTCAGAGTTTCTTTTTTAAAATGTTAATTACTATTTATGTCTTTCTAAATGCTAAAATGTTAAAACTTGCTAAGAAATTACAAAATTTTATGTTTATATATAGACATATATTTTCAAAGAGTGCCTATATTTTCAAGGTACTGTATGAAATTCATTAATCTCTACTCCTTACAGTACTACTCTGGTGGTCATTAATACTTTTCCTGTATTTTACCATTGTAATAAGTCTATTTGAAATTTCCATGTTACCTAAGACATAGTGTTTTATGTAGAATTTTTCTTATTATGTTAAAAATTTCTTCCAAGAGTATCTAAAGATAAGTTTGTTAGTTTTCGTGTGTGTGCATGTGCATGTTTGAGACAGGGTCTTACTATGTAGCTGGCTGGCCTAGAACTCACTATATAGACCAAGATGGCCTTGAACTCACAGAGATCTGCCTGCCTCTGCCTCCCCAGTGCTGGGATTAAAGGTGAGTACCTCCACGCCTGGCAGTTTTCTTGAACTCATTGTACAATCTTCTGTTCATAGTCTGTTAATGTGATAAATTATTTCAGCTGCCTTTTTTTTTTCTTAGAATGGACTGGACTCATCTAGACATTGGGATAGTTGGATTATGTTTTGTTTAGAATGTTTGTATCAATGCACACAGGAGGAACTGATGCACAGTTTTCCTTCTCACACTGTCCTTTTGTGACAATTGTACATATTTTTTGAGTGCTCAGTCTGATTTCTGGAATCATATTTGGGGATTGGGTTCTTGAAAACTTCCTGGAATTTATGTACAAGAGCCACCAGGTCCTAACTGGTAGACATTTTTTCTATTTCTTTTCCTATAAATTAATTTTAATAGTTATGTCACTGTGATGATTAATATTGGTTATCAACTTGAAGGGATCTAAAAATCAACTAGAAGACAAACATTTGGGCATATCTGTGAGTTTCTAGATTGGCCTAATAAAGATAGGAGAACCCATCCTCAATGTGGGTGGCACCGTTCTATGGGCTGAGGTCTCAGACTTTACTAAGAGGAGATGAGCTGACCATCAGCACTGGTATCTCTCTGCTTCCTGACTGTAGACATGGAGTAACCAGCCGCCCCACACTCCTGCTGCCATGCCTTCCTGCCATGATGAACTGTACCTTCAAACCCGAGCCAAAAGAAACCTTTTAATTACTTCTGTCAGGTACTTTATCATGACAATAAGAAAAAATAATGAATATAGTCACTTCCCACAATTGTTATTTCTGGAGACATCCTAAATTATGTTTCTGTAAAAGAATATCCATTCTATACTGGAGCTTTCATTCCATGCTAATTGTGCTCTGTGATCTTGTTCCCAGTTCTTTCTCTGTCATTCCTGACTCAATTCCTAAGACTGTAACCTTCATTTTTGTCTCTGATCCTTCTTTCCAAAGTCTATCCACATGTTGATCTTTCTGAAAACATTTCACTTTGCTGCTCTTTTCTTTTCTAGAGGCAAAAGCACTAGAAGTTACTTTGGTGCTCTGTTAGCAGTAAGTTCATCCCAATTTTGTGAATCTATACTATCTTTTACTCACACCGAAATACAATTTTACTTAGTGAAGTTGGAAGATATTGCTCCCTGCCCTCTGGTTTCTGTTGCTGTTGACAAAAAGCATCTTGTCTATTGCTATTTCTAATAAGAGTTCTGCTTTTATTGATTGCATTGAAAACCTCTCTTTGCCTTTGGTCTTCACTGGGATGTGTCTACATACAGACTCATATTTATCCTGGTTAAGACTGGGTGAACTGGAATCTATTGATTCATGCTTTAACCAATCCTGATAAAGTCTCAATGATCATCTATCTCTTCATTATCATTTCTAGGATGTAGGAATTAGAGCATTCCAGTTTCTTCCCTTGTGCATCTTAATCTCGTCCAATTTTCCATTTCCTTAAGTCTATATCCTGCATCTGAGTGCTTTCTTCCAAGGTGACAGGCACTTCGCTAATTCTTAACCTGTCTGCTGAGCTGTATTTCTTTAAAAAAAAAAAAAAACATTTTGTTTGGGGCTGGAGAGATGATTCAGCAGATTAGAACACTGTTCTTGCAGAAGACCTGGTTCAAATCCCAGCACCCACATAGCAGCTAACAACCGTCTGTAACTCCAGTTCCAGGGGATCTGACAGCCTCTTCTGTTTTCTGCAGGCATTGCACAACACATGCAGGCAATGCACGCATACACATAAAAATAGAAATAATGCATGCATTGCCTGCATGTATATAATAAGTCCACCCATGTCATGCAGTGACAATGGAGGTCAGAAGAGAGAGTCAGATTCCCTGGAACTGGAGTTACAGACAGTTGTTAGCTGCCATGGTGAGTACTGGGAACCAAACTTGGGTCCTCTGCAAAAACAGTTAAGTGCTCTTAACTGCTGAACCATCCCTCTAGTCCCTGAGCTGTATTTCTTAAACTATAATTTCCATCTCCTTAAGTATCTGATACTTTTCTAAATTCAATGATCATGTTTGATAAACTCAAAACTGGTACTTGTTCATTTTTTCCCATTTGCTCATTTTCTCACTAGTAGTATCTGAAGATTCATATGGCTCTGTACAAGGAACTCATGTATGATGGTTATGTATTACTTTATTGTGAACTATTACTTGACTGAACTTCATCTGTTGTTCCATGAGGACACTGAAATAAGACCAAGTTTTCCAGAGATAATCTGAGTGTGCTTCTATGAAGTCCTAAAAAGAGCTACTTGGGACCATTTCAACTTCCTGACCTGGAAATTCCCTAATCTCTGGATAGCATAAAGTAAACCAGAAGCTCATATAGACTCCTGTTAATAGATTCCCAGTGGGAACTTTTCCTCTTCCTTCACCATATGCTGAGCCCAAGCAAGGACTTAAGAGGAACCACAGAGGCTCTCCATGCAGGCTGCAGACTAGACTTTTCTAGCCCAGCCTCATTGAGGGCATGGTTTGCTACGATACAAGCACTTTCTGCTTGTCACAGAAGTGTTCATCTCAAAGCTGTAGGCTCTCAGAATGTTCACACGTCCCTACATCAGCATAACTTTGACACCTGCCTTTGTTTTCCAACCTATTTTCAAATACTCCATTTGCCCTTCCCATTAGAGATTTCTCTCATATTCAGGTGAGCACAGCCATAGGTTCATAGTTATACACGTGTGAAGATGTATTCAGCATCTCTTTTATGCAAGAGGGCCTCTCACAGAGGCTGGAGAAATGGCTACAAGCATTTGATGCTCTTGTAGAGGACCTGGGTTTAGTTTCCAGCACCCGCATGGTGACTCACAACCATCTATAATTCCAGTTCCAGAGATCTGATACCCTCTTCTGGCTTCCACAGGCACTGTACTCACACATGTGCATACATACACATGTACACATAATTTAAAATAAAACTTTTTTTAAAAAAAGAGGGCCTTTCACAATGTCTATGTAGTCTCCAAAGCCAACATTCTTTTTGTCTTTAGTCATTTTCTTATTTCCTACTACTTTGCTACAAAGATATACCTAGTCATGTTATCAATTGTTTATCTTTAGTTCTGAATAAAATCCAGCACTTCACTAAGAAATCTCACTGTTTAAAAAAAAAACAAAAACAAAAACAAAAAGAAAGAAGAAAGAAAGAAAGAAAGAAAGAAAGAGAAAGATTTTTTTTGAAAGAAAGAAAGAAAGAAAGAAAGAAAGAAAGAAAGAAAGAGGGGCTGGAAAGATGGTTCAGCAGTTAAGAACACTGGTTGTTCTTGCAGAAGACCCGGGTTCGAATCCCAGCACCCACATGGCAGCTAACAACTGTCTGTAACTCCAGTTCCAGGGGATCCAACAGCAATTCTGACCTAGGTGGGCATTGCACAACACGGGTGCACCTACCTACGTGCAGGCAATACACGCATACACATAAAATAAAAATAATAAATTTTTTTGAAAAAAAGAAAGAAATCAGCCATAGTCTACACTCCCTTGTTTCTAGAAGGTTAATGGCTTCTGCTTGTAGGGTGAGATGTTTGGAGTACTAGGGTCTCCCATGCCACCCCAGGACAAGAACGTGTGTCAATTTGGTTGACTCTCTTTAGAAAAACATTAGATTCACATGCTGAAAAAACACCCAGAGTAACCTGACTCTATTTGATTTAAAATATCCTTTCACATTTCCTGAAAGACACAGGACAAGCACCTTTCACTATTAAATACATAACTATAAGCTGCTACAATGTGCATGGAACTGCTGAGGTGCAATACATATTTGTCATAAATGTTTGCAGACAATATATTGGTTAGTCGAGTAAAAACCACTTTCCCAGGGCTGGAGAGATGGCTCAGTGGTTAAGAACACTGGTTCTTCTTGCAGAAGACCTGAGTTCAAATCCAGCACCCACATGGCAGCTGACATTGTCTGTAAATCCAGTCCCAGGGGATCCGACAGCCTCTTCTGACCTCCACAGGCATTGCACGACATGGGTGCACTTACCTACATGCAGGTAACACATGCATACATATAAAATAAAAATAAATAAATAAATAAAAGAAAAAAAAACATTTTCCTCTCCACAATCTGTTCAGACCACCTGGAATTTAGACACAGTCTTTTAAAAATCCTTTATTAGCATATGTTAACCTACTCCTTTTCAATGAATATAAACTAATTATCTTCAGCCAGATGAAAAGAGAAGACCTTAGGCTATAGAATGGTGTTTTCTGAATACAGTTAAAACCAATTAAGTTTCAATTCAAAGCAAAATTTGGAAAGTGAGGTAAGAGCAGTGTTAATTTGGACAACCATTCTCAATCAAAAGATCATGTCCAACATGAAGCAGAACAAGGCAGGAGCACAAAGGAGAACTCAGGAAGAGTCCCAGCAGGAAGAGGTCTAAATGTCCTCAACCTCACAAACACATTTTCTCACTTGGACCATGCTGATTCAGACAAAAACCTAGAGTGGAACTGCGGAAATAGGCAGCAGGCCCCAACCTTAGCCAAGGAACTATTGGCAGCTGATTACTGTTGGGTGAGGGAGAGTTGATCTTCTTTAGGGGAGTGACTAGATAGGCTGAACAGGCTCTAGTGGATGTACTCACACAGAAGGACATCTAGGTATACTAATTTGACTCAATAGGCCTTAACACATTTGACAGAATGCATGAAATCTGGTGGAAAGGCTATGGGGGTGGGTATGGGGGGTCTAAATATGATTAGGATGTATTGTATGAAATGCACAAGATTTTGATTTTAAAAAAGTGTGAAAGTTACCAGAAAAAAACAAAACAAACAAACAAACAAAAAACTCTGCATCTTCAAACTGAGCTTTCTGCAAGGTTCATCAACTAATTAGAACATCAATGACTGGAGAGTTTGGAATGCTACAGGTCCAGGGCTTAATTACAATTTATCTTGGGCTATCTTTAGCTTCTTAATAGCCAATCCTTGCCCACTCCTGTGTCTGATCTAACATCCTTTTGAGATGTGTCACCAACCCAAGGGCTAAGAAGCCTGTCGGATAGCATCCATGACAAGATTCTCCCCACTTTGTTATAACTCAACTCTCTGATGTCAGCACCAGTGTATTTGAAAAGTATCTTGATTTATGGCTTTTTTTATTCTATTACTATAAAAACTTCATGAAACTGTTACCATTTTAGAACATGGAATTTGGGGTAACCTAAATGGGTGTTTCCAGGCCGTGGTCACTCATATTTGGCTCCAGAATAAACTATATCTTATTCCCTTTGAGGCGAGAGCTGTGCTTTTGCATCAAAAGTCACAGTCAGCGGGCTAGAGGTGCTCAGGTGTTGAACTTAGCACACACAGCCATGTGTTCAATCTCTACTACAAAAAAAAAAAGAAAAGAAAAAAGGAAAGAGTTATCCCATAGGAAGCAGTACAGTTGTTAGAATTGCTAATTTTTTTTAAAAAGATTTAGATAGAATTTTAATCCTATTTTTGAAATTTACTAACTTGGTAATCTCCAATAAATTATGGAATGATAAGCTGGTTTCTTTATCTGAATGGCGAGTAATTGAAGCTGTATCAGAGAACTACTGTGATAATCAAACAAAATGCACTGTGCTTAACAAAAATTTTATCCCCTCCCCACTGTGTATGTGTGTGTGTGTGTTGAGGATTGAACCCAAAGCTTCTTCCACAAGCGAGACAAGCTTTCTCTACACTAAGCTATATTCCTGTCCTCTTTGAGACAGGATCTCATTAAATTGCTCTGGCTAGGCTTAAATTCAGTCTGTAAACCAAGCAGGCCTTGAACTTTGTGATCCTCCTACCTCAGCCTCACAAGTAGCCAGGTTTATAGGCCTGTGCCACCAATGGTGGCTTGACAAAAAAAAATTTTTTTGGTCTTTTGAGACAAGGGTCTCCCTGTAGCTTCAGGAGGCTTGGAATTTGCTATGTAGATCAGCCTGGCCTCCACCTCACAGAGATCTGCCTGCCTCTGCCTCTCAAGTGCAGGGAACTAAAGGCATGTGCTACCATCTCAGGCCTTGACAAAATTCTTGACATGTTCTAAGTGCTCAACACCAAGTCGGCTGTTACTTTCATTAGCATGATTACTTTGAAAACAATAGTGTGTGGGGGAAATGTGATTTAAAACAATATCAGTTAGTAAAAACAAAATTCATTTTTTTAATGTTTACTGTTATGCACCCAAGATAGTTGAGAACTATATTACCTTATCAAGCACTGAGTATGGGTTTTCTGCCTTAAATCCAAGAGGGGCACAACTTCTGAATCTTTCTCTGAACTCTGTCTGCTTTTCCTAATCAGGAAAAAAAAGTGAATTTCAATCAAATAGTTTCAATTATCCTTATAAAACTTTTCTTAAAAACAAACAAGCACTGGGGCTGGAGAGATGGCTCAGTGGTTAAGAACACTGTTCTTGCAGAAGAGCTGGGTTCGAATCCCAGCACCCACTTGGCAGCTAACAATGGTCCATAACTCCAGTTCCAGGGGATCCAACAGCCTCTTCTGTCCTCCTCGGGCATTGCACAACACGGGTGTACTTACTTACATGCAGGCATAACACTCATACACATAAAACAAAAATAATAAAATATTTTTTTAAAAAAGCACAAACTTGTTAACTAACTTACATCAAACAAAATACATTTTTTCCTAATAAGTGTGACTTCTGCATTTTGGAGTGGTGAGACTTCGTGTCTGACTGTGGCTGCAATCTTTTTAGTGGTTTCCCATCTCTCAGGTAATTCCTATAAAAACAAAGGAACAAATTAAGTTGCTTCAATTCCTAAAACAATTCAACTCCATAAGATCAAGTGGTTCTTATTCCCCTCCTCTGACCCATGATGTGTTTTAGAAGGAATTTATGCAAATCAAATGGACCAAAGTAATGAAAGGGTTTAAAACCTGGGCATCTTCCATGAATGCACCAGTGGCTCTCACCTTAGAATCAGTAAAAATCCTCAGACTAAGGACAAATCTTCAAATAATTTTGCTGTTGTAGGAATAAAATTGAAGCTGTGTGGGCTGGGGAGATGGCCCGGTCAGTAGAGCACTTGCTGTGCAAGCATGAGGACCACCCACCTGAGTTTGGATCCAACCCCAGCACACACATAAAAAGTTGGGTATGATGGTATGGGCCTGTGATCCCAGCACTGGGGAGGCAGAGCCGGGAGAACCCCTGGAGCTCACAGGCCAGCTAGTCCAGTCAAATTGGTGAATGAAAGACTGTCTTTCATTTAATGAAAGGTTTAATGAAAGACTTTGTCTAAAAAGCCAGGTCAAGAATAATTGAGCAAGACACCCAACATCGACCTCTGGGCCTCCACATGTACATGAACACACACACACACACACACACACAGTTAAATTACTCTAGCCTTGACTTTGCTGGTTTCTAACAACTAGAAATAGAAGCCAGGCATATTTATCAATTTAATGAGTTGTTTAAAATAAAAGAAGGTGCTTTGAAACTTTGGTGGAGGAAAACTCCAGGATGATTCTATCGCTTCCTCACTTTACTCTGGCTCCCAGGGCTCTCTCTACACTTGCTGTTGATGGCAAGTTTTAGCACTGAAGTTGGTCCATATAGATGAGGAGGATTTTTTGAAAGGTTTTAAAAAGAGGCAAAGTTAAGGTCAATTCTACTTGATGCTGAACAAAGGCAGCAACAAACAGTTCAGGACCAACTCCACTCTGCCCTCCCTGCCTACTGTGCAAACAGGTAAAAAGGCAACTGACTTTCTTTGAAGAGCCATGATACATAATTACCATGGAAGAGTGTTCCTGTGTCCACACTAACAAAGCGTTGCCTCTCTGGGTTGTCTCCTAGGACACTGAATTTGTTTTGCCATACAAAACCACCCATAGTGACAAGGATGCTGCTTGTTGAGCTGAAGGGCAGAATCCAAAGGTTCTACAGACTGTTTTGTAACCCTCAATAAATATTTGATGAACAATTCAGTAACTGCCGATTATGGAGAGAACACTGAACTAAGTAGATGCAGTGTGGAACCGGGTGCTTCAGAGGTAAAACACCTTCTTTGACTTAAATTGGTATAGAATCTATCAGAGCATGCAGGAGGCATGCTCATTAGCTACTGTACATGCCACAATGTGCTAACATCCTCCAGCAGGCCAGTAATGGGATCGATACAGTTAAGGGGCAATGCAGTATTGTGACAGGAACTCCAAACCAATTCAGGAAGCAAGAGACCTGTGCTCTAAACCCTTATGCTCCCATCTTGTGTCTCCTCTCATTAAAAGCCTCATCTTGTAACCCTGGATTCTATCTATCCCCACTACCATCTAAAGCCAGTTGTGGTGTGGTGGTGCATGCCTATAATCCAAGCACTCAGAAGACAGACACAGAAGGATCACAAATTCAGGTCATCCTTGACCAGACATCTAGTTTGAGGCCAACCCAAGATACATGACACTGTTTCAAACAGCAACCAAAAACCCCAAATTCATTCCCAGTATCACCCAGTATCCCATCAGAAGTCATGGCTGGGAAACCAAGCAGGGTTACAGGCCCCTTACTTTCTTCAAACACAGTGGATCTGCTACATGCTTGTGGACTCCAAATACCCTTTTATTTGATGCAAATACGTTTTCTTGAAAAACAAAGATCAGATAATCTCTAAATCCCTAATGGATAGGCTCCAACTTAAGGAGGAGGTAACTTAATATGAGACACAAAGGGATGATTCCATGGGGCTGGGGAGATGGCTCAGTGGGTAAGAACGCTTGCTATGGAAGCATAAAAACCCAAGTTCCAAGCATGATATCCATACCTGTAATTCCAATACTGGAGGCTACTGGAGGTGAAAGGGACAATAGGAAGATCGCTTGGGTTGTTGGCTAGCCAGCCTGGCTGCAAGCATCAAGTTCTAGGTTCAATGAGAGACCCTGCCTCAAGGGGGTAAGGTGGAGAGTGACAAAGCAGGACACTCACTGTCCTTCTCTGGCTTCCATGCATAGGTATACAACCCCACACACATGCATCACACACACACACACATACACACACACGCACACACACACACACACACACGGAATGATTGAATTTCAACAAGCACAGGTTGTAAGGATGAGCCTCTTTGAGGTGTGGCCACCAAAGCAGGACAGGGAGGATGGGCTCACATGGAAACTCAAGTATCAGAAGGCATACCTGAAGGTGGTGGTCAGGAAAGAGCTGATAAGAACTGTGGGTGAGCACCTCAGAAAAGACTCTAGATGGGGTATGAAGAGGAATGAGGTCAGTCAGGCAGCTACTGCTGTGACTGAGGTCAGGAGTATCAAGAACTGAATTAAAATTGGAATGACAGAAATGCAAAGAGCTGATCTACTAAAAAGACACTCCACCTAGAAACCACTCTGTTGAAGGTAGATGTCCATGATCTTGAAGAAATGATGCCTAAACTTTCAGGGGTACAGGCACATCTAAGGTGCTTTTTGTTTTGTTTTTAATCATAGAACTAAGCACAGACAACTAATTGAGAACTTCTGTGACTTTATGATAATAAAGGAGAAACATTAACTGCCCACGTTGTTTAATTAAAATAAAATTTGGATTCTGTTCCTTCCACATTAACTTGAATCCTACTTTTCCTCCTGACCCATCCATATCACCTGCACAGTGATACATTCATAGCTAAAAATGTCTTGATTTTGAAACCTAATGTTTTCAATACAATAAGAACCTTAAGGAAAGAATCAAACTTATATAATGCAAATTCTGGAGGTTATAACTAAAGTGAGTGACTATGTCATAACAGGCTTCTCTGGGATATGTGGCAAGGTCTGAGATCTGATTCAAACAATATCCAAATCTTCCTTATGAGAGAAGTTGATGTTATGCCGATATTTTCTCTCTCCATCTTACTAGGTATCTATGGTCCCAGTTGGTCTTCTTGCTCTGTGTCTAACACCTTACACAGAATAATTCATGCACAGTAATTCTTTGTGAACTTTTTAGTCAAGAGAGCTACTGCAAGTACATTATTTTTGTTTAGTCCTCTTAAAACAAAATACAGGATATAAAATGGTGTTACCACTGTGGAAATCAATTTGACAATTCCTAAAAAGTTACACATAGAATTGCCACATAAGCCAGCAGTTCCACTCCTAAGTGTATGCCAGGGAGAAATAAAAACAGGTATTTAAATACTCACATGCAGCATGATTCACAAAAGGAAGAAGGAAAGTCTTAGGTCCCTCAGCAGGTAGATGGTTTGACTCATGTGGTACAGGCTCACAATGGAACATTATTCAACCAAAAAATGCAACAAAATACTGATACATGCTACAAAGTGAATAAACCTCAAAAACAATACATGGGGTGAAATAAGTCAAAAAGGTCATGTTTTATCAACTTTATATGAAATACCTAGAGTGAGCAAACTCTCCAAGACAGAAATGATTGGCAATTGCCAAGGGCTGGAAAGCAGGACTTGCTGGGGTAGAGGATCATGAAGAGAGACAGCAAATGGGTGCAGTGCATACACTGTGAATGTACTAAATGCTAATGAATTGTACATTTAAAATATTACTTTTGTGTTAACTTGACTGTCAATTTCATAAAAAAGAACTTGGAAGGAAATAGCGTATTTAGACATCAAAGAATCACAAGAAATATTTTACCAAAAAGGAAGTGTGTTCTGAGATATGACCTAGTTTTCTAAGGCAGACAGATAAGAGTCTCCTACAATAGTGAATATTAAATCTTGGGATGGGAGACACAACTCTATGGGTAAGAGCACTTTCTGTACACACATAAGAACCTGAGTTTGAATTCTAGCACTGAGTTAAATCAGGAGTGGCTACAGGCATGCCTATAGCCCTAGCACCACAGGGAATAGAGACAAGAGAAGTGCAGGGCTTGCTGCTGCTGGCCTAGCTCCAAGTTTAGTGGAAGATCCCATTTCAATGGAATCAGGTGGAGAATGATAGAGCAGGATACCTGATGTTCTTGTCTGGCCTCCTCACAGACACATGAGCACTCACTTTCATGCATGTGTGTGTGCGCGCACGCGCACACACACACACACACACACAAACTAAAAAGTACATATACATTAACTTGAATTGTGTGCTCTGATCACTAAACTAGGTGACCTAGATTTCAACGTAAGTTGCTTGATTTAATGTGTCTACTAATCAATCCCATTTATGAGATTAAAAGTAAACCTATCCCCACTTCACTATTTATAGAACCTCAATATGGGCAGGGCAGCAGAGCCTCAATTGTGAGATTTTTGTTCACATGTTCAGTTATAATTAACAAGACTTTGCTCATCATCTGGCACACAGTGACCACAAAATGTTTCCAGAACACAGAACACATGAACAGAACTATGATTGAGAAAGACAGTGATTTCTCTGTGCAACCAGGCTCCATAAATTTATTCTTTTTTTTCAAAAATTTATGTGTATTGAGTGTATTGCCTGCATGTATGTTAAGTGCACCCATGTTGTGCAATGCCTGTGGAGGACAGAAGAGGCCATCGGATCCCCTGTAACTGGAGTTATGGACAGCTGTTAGCTGCCATGTGGGTGTTGGGAATCAAACCTGGGTCCTCCACAAGAGCAGCCAGTCCTCTTAACCACCGAGTCATCTCTCCAGCCTTCATTTATTTATTTATTTTTATTTTTATTTTTATTTATTTTTTGGTCTTTGAGACAGGGTCTCCCTGTAGCCCCAGTTGGCCTGGAACTCTCTATGTAGACCAGGCTGGCCCTCGAACTCACAGAGATTCGCCTGCCTCTGCCTCCCAAGTGCTGGGATTAAAGGCATGCACCACCACACCCAGCTTATTCTTTATTCTTATGTCCATAGTATATTTCCAAGATTAAGACGCTTCTCAACTGACAGGCAACTGGGAATAAAAAACAGCATGGATAGATTGCACACATAAAAGCGATGGTTAAGACCAGGACTCAGGAGCAACCGAGAGGCTGTCTTCTACATAGACAGCTCCGGGGAGGACGGTGTGGCACGTGGTTGAGAGAGAGTATTTTCTCATGAAGCACACAGCTGAGTGCTGGCCTTTACTACTTCTATGACCTTGAAAAATTAATTTCCTTCAGCTTCAGATTCTTAACCTGTACAATCAAAACACCGTAGTACAGACAGTGAAGAGTGCGCATCACAGACTCGGCTGAAGGTGTGCTCAGCTGCTGGTCACTGTGCTTATTTTACTCAGTACTTACCTCCATCTGAGCATAGACCTGCTTGGGCATCTTCTGGCCATAGCTTTCCAGCAGTGTGATGGTTTCTTTCAGAGGTTCAAAGAGCTCATCAGTAGCTCTCTGTCGGCTTCTTACAGCTAGAAGATGCCCCATGATGTCAACTAAGCCACTGTGATCACCTTCGCTCAATTCTCTCTGAAGCCCTGCATCTGTCTGCTTGATAAATCCCTGTAGCTCATTCAAACTGTTAAAAACAAATATACACATAGATACCCAGGCTAAGTTCATGAAAACATTTAGCATTAACACCAAGTTCAAAGCCACACTATCCACAATAGCAGAAAGACAGAAACGACTCACATGTCCATTTCTAGATAAGTGCGTTGCACGCTAATCATCCAATCATGTCATTCCCCACAGTCCTCCCCCCACACTCAGCCAAGTCTCACTCTAACCCTTGACAAATACCAATCATTCTGTCTCTGTGGGTCATTTATTCTGGATACTTCATATAAATGGAGCTACACAAGTAGGTGTACTACAGTATTTGGTTTCTTTTACCTGATGGAAGGCTTTCAAAGCTCATTCATACTGTAGCATGTATAAGGCTTGACACAATCTCATTTTCATTATGTATAAACATTATTTGCTTTCTCTGTTCTCAAATGAGCAACACAATGTTCATGAAATTAATATGTTGGCTACAAAGCATTCAACTTTGTGTGTGTGTGTGTGTGTGTGTGAGAGAGAGAGAGAGAGAGAGAGAGAGAGAGAGAGAAAGAGAGCTGAGCCTGGGTCTATAAAGGTTAAAAGCAAAGTTCAGGTGTCATTCTTCACATGACATCCACCTAGATTTGAGTCATGTTTCTCCCTCAACCTCACCTCTGCTGGGATTACAAGCAGATTCCACCACCTCTAGCTTTTTTGTCTTTTTTTTTTTTTTTGGAGCTGAGGACTGAACCCAGGGCCTGTGCTCGCTAGGCAAATGCTCTATAAATCCCAAACCCCACCTCTGGTTTTTTACAAGAACGCAGATTGAACTCAGTCCTCATGCTGGCATGACAAGCACCTTACTGACTGAGTCAACTTCACAGCCCACTAGTCAACTTCTATCAAAAGCTGGTAGAGTTTCAAATGCCAAAGCACAAGGCTACCTGTCAACGACAAATCTCAGCAGATGCTCCTGAAACATCCAGCTCCACTTCTTGATCACGTTCAGCAAACTCAACTTGAAAGGTTTCATGTCCACCTTGAACCAACTATTAAACACCCGGAAGTCATCGAACTTGCTCATCTGAACGTACAAAGCCTCATAAATGTCGATCTACAGAGTAGGAAAATAAATAACTACAGCAGCTCTGTATAAGGCCACTTAATTGCCTTAAATGCTAAGGGGTTTCCTTGCCTGTTCTTTGAATTGTTCAAGAGTTGGCGGTTGCAGGATGTCCTCACTTCCCTGTGCATCCATGTCCTCAGAAGACACAGCATGGCCATACAGGAGAAAGTGCTTCATGACCTCCACTCGGTCGTCCACCCAGAGGTAAGCGTAGCTCTCCAGGGAACTTCTGAACTCCAAGACTTTGCTGATGACATCAGCCACTCTATTCATTATCTCCTGCCGGGCCTCTGCCAGGCCTAACATGTTATCCATGTCATTCTAAACAAGAGGAAAACCAAGCAAGTATTCTTATTCAAGGAAATCTTATTTATATATCAATTATGGGTACCATAACATTATCCAATGTAATTTTTCAGAGAGATTACTTGACAAAATTTAAAAAAAACACCTGTGTGACTTTTACCAACTTCCCTCTGGTGCTTCTCCTTCTCCCATTCTCCCGGATTGGTTTTGGTTCATTAATACCAAGTTAGTACCTGTTTTCACACGAAATACCTGGTAGTTTGCAGTTTCCAGGTGCGCTGCTACCCGCTCCACCTGGGCGGACATTCTGAAACTGCTACACAGCATTTCTTCCACCAGATCGTAGAAGCCATCCCCAGCATCTCTTTCTAAAGGGGGCTTGAACACAATCTCTGGGGGCACTAAGATCATTTGTGCTTGAAAAAATGGTGCAGGTTTCAATTGCTTCTCTGTGTTCTTCAGGAAGAAGTCCAGGTCATGCAGAATGGCCTGAAAAAAGCCTTCTACCACAATGTCGTCAATGAATTCAACATAAATTTTCCAGATATCCAGAGAAGGATCAGCTTTGAACAACTTCCGGTTTTCCTAGAAGTGAAGCATTGAACGGCAATAAATTAACAATAATCAATATAAAGGAGAAACCTTCCACTGGATTGGCTTGTTAAAGAAAGGACTGAATTTTTGTGCTTAACGCAGCAACATTCAAATGCAAGGCTGTAGAACCCTGAACTGGAAGACAAAGATCTCTACAGGATTTTATAATGTTGGCCTCATATACAACCTGCATTCCAAAGGCATCCTTCAAAGGCAAAATCAATATGAAGATTGCTATCTTTAAATAGATAGGAAGAAGTGCAACAGATCTCAGAGAATCCTGGAAGGGTTAGACCTGGGCTCTAGCTCTTACTCTGTCCCTAATTTATGGAGTCTTGGACTTTTTCTTCCAGGGCCTTGAGAAAAAAGAAGAGATTTCCCAAGCTATTCCTTCTGACAACATTGTTCTGGACACTGGAGTATCTGAGACAGGAATCACATGGGTTTGTTGCCCTCAAATTTATGGACTACTCTTGGGCATGCTGTGCTGCCCACCATGCAGGTGAACCACCCACATGTGTATAGTCTATGTGACCTACACTCCTATAGATGTGAAGTACACATCTGGAAATCCTATACACAGCAGCCCTGTTCCTTTGTGATCACTAGGAAGAAAAAGCATAGATATTAGAGCAAAGAAGAAGAAGTGGGGATGCTAAAAACCATCTTGTTTGGTCTCCTCATGTAAAAGATATGAAAACAAAGGCCTATGCATTTAGGGTCACCCTGGTAATAAGTCAGCAGCTGAGGTAGGACTAGAAATCAGCTTCCTTTCCTGTCTCCAGGACACTGCCTTTTCTGATCCATCACAGTTGCACCAGAGCCCATTTGCTTCATTCCTGAGGCACTCAGAAGAGATGGACTTTTATGGAAGAGGAAAAGGAAGAAAAAAGACAGTCACTAAATGATTATGCATATTCCTTCCAGAACCCTTGTCCTACTTTCTTTCTCCATTGCTGTAACAAAACATTCTGACCAATACCAACTTGGGGAGGAAAGGGTTTATTTAGCTTACATATCCCAAGTCACAGTTCATCAGGGAGCCCAAGGTAGGACCTCAGGGCAGGAACCTGGAGGCAGGCGCTGGAGCACAGGCCATGGAGGAATGCTGCTTACTGACTTGCTCCCCTGGCCCCTGCAACACAGACCGACCTGCTATCCAGGGATGGCATCACCCACAGTGGGCTGGGCCTTCCCACATCACTCAACAATCAAGAAGTTGCCCCATGGACATGGCCACAGGCCAGTCCAATGAAGGTGATTCCCCAATTGACGATCCTTCAACCCAGGTGTGTCAAGTTGACACTAAAGCTATCCAGCACAATTGACCCCTTGTCAACTTGACAGAAAAACACATCACTAATTAAACCATAACCTTTCCAATTCTTGTCCCCAAGATATATTAACATTAGTATCACAACATAAGACAGTAAACCTTAAAAACCCCACAGTCCTTAAAAAAATCCAAACACTTAAAAGTCCACAGTCTCCGTGTTGACCCTCCTCTTTATAGACTGGACACTGGCTCAAGTCCATCTGGTGGGGTCTCCTCAGCTTCCTTGATCAAGAGGCCAGATGACCCACCACCATTACAGGACATTTTGCGTGATGCTCATAGTCCCTGGGAACTAATCGACCCAGGAGGGCAAGGAGCAAAAAGTGACCTTTGAATCCCTCTGACCCAATTAGTATAGATCTCAAGGTATGTCTGTTAAACATCCAAGAAGGTTAGTTCCACCATTCTGGCATTTTTAATTACTGTGTGTCTTGCAGATAAATCTTGGGTAATGACCAGTTGGTCTCAAATAAACCTTATCTAGAGATATTTTTCTTGATCTTTTATGTATAATTTGTCAGTAGATTGTTCTATCCAAAGGAATACTGACAATGGATTGCCGTAGATGAGGAACAGCTGACCCTCCTGGAACAGGGACCTCTGGCTGACTAGATTTACCAGAAGGGCAGACAGGGGGAATGGATGAGGGTGCTGACAACACAGTGGACAGTGACAGGGATGGCAGAGTATGGAGCCTCTAGTGGGAGAGGAAGGCTGTCTATCTGACGAGTTTGTATTCATGCTCAGATGCCGAGGAGCTCAGAAGGTGGGCGACTGTGACCAGTGATAGTCATGTATATAGAGATTAGAAATGCATGTGAAAACGTCTCAATGTCAATTGCTTTGGAATGAATTCTTCTGTATGAAAAAAAAAATAAAAAAATAATGATTAAAAAACAAAAAAAAAAACAAAAACAAACAAACAAAAAAAAAGTCCACAGTCTCTTTTAAAAGTCTCTTAACTGTGGGTGAGCTTCTGTAAAACCCAAAAAACCACTGTCTTATTTCAAAGGGAAGAATCGGGCACACCGAAGCAAAACCAAAGTCCAGCAAAATAGCTCGAGGCTGGACATCTAGGATTCACTCACGATCTTCTGGGCTCCATAGGGTTCTGGCAGCTCTCCTCTGACTGCGCTGTCCATAGCACACACAGCTCGTCTCATAGTCCCAGGCCAGCTCCATTCCACACCTACTGCTGTCCTTGGTGGTCATCCCATGGTCCCAGCATCTCCAAAAGATGGGGTCTCCACTGAAACTGAGGCTACACCTTCACCAATGACCTCTTCTTGCCTCTTGGGGTGCAAAGCCTCAGATTCTCTCTATGACCCCTTCAATTCTGGGGTCTTAACTGCAACTGAAGCTGCACTTTCACCTATGGTCTTTCCTGACCTCTCAGGGTGGCAAGCCTCAGCTGCCCCTTTACGCTTTCAACACCAGAACCATGCAGGAGGCTCTTACACATTACCAAGTCCTGTTTCCAACTAGAGATGGAGGCTCGGGTCCCCTCTGTGTGCTTACCCTGAGGAAATACCTCCCAGAAGATTTCACTACAGAGATGCTGGTCTCTTGTTACTTACAGCTGATTTTTCAGCCCCAGCTAACCAGCATCAATTGTCCCAGTAAAGCAAAGGTTTTACTTCAGGTTCTGGTCTCTTCTTAATCACAGCTGATTCTTCAGCCCCAGCTGACCAGAACCCCCAGAATCTCAATTCAAAATATCACATGAACAGCCCTGATAGTCTCTGCTTCCCTTTGAAGCTTCACAAGCCAGGCCTCCATTGTTCACAACTCTTTCAGTATAACTGTTCCAAGCTCCACAGAAACAAACTCTAAGGACTCAAAGCCTTTTCCAGCCCAAAGTTCAGAACGCTTCCACAGTTCTCCTAAAAATACCAAGGTCAAGTCTGTCACAGCAATAACCCACTCCTGGTACCAATTTCTGTCCTAGTTTGTTTCTCCATTGCTGTGACAAAACACTGACCAATACCAACTTGGAGAGGAAAGGGTTTATTTAGCTTACATATCCCGAGTCACAGTTCATCAGGGAGCCCAAGGTAGGAACTCAGGGAAGGAACCTGGAGGCTAGAGCACAGGCCATGGAGGAATGCTGCTTACTGGCTTGCTCCCCTGGCCCCTGCTCAGCCTGCTGTCTTATGCAACACAGACCAACTGCCCAGGGCTGGCATCACCCACAGTGGGCTGGGCCCTCCCACATCACTCAACAATCAAGAAGGTACCCCATGGACATGGCCACAGGCCGGTCCAATGAAGGCAATTCCCCAGCTGAGGCTCCCTCAACCCAGGTGTGTCAAGTTGACACTAAAGCTATCCAGCACAGAACTCTTCCACAGTACTGCCCCTCATCCTCTCTCCACCTGAAACACTTTCTATGCATATCAGTGATATCTCACAAGCAGAGAGTGCAGGGGAAGAGGCAGATGGACCTCTGCTCACTATTGTGTCTCTGCACCTCTCCCAGGCCACGTCCTCCCCAGCACCTAAGAAAGGTTCGATGAGTCAAAGAGGAAAAACATCACTCAAAGGAACAAAGACACAGAAACAAGCACCGAACAAACATCTTCTCTGCTGGCTAATCATTACCTCATGTCGAAGCTCTCCTCTGTTTTCTTACCAGGAATGGGGATTTTAGAACTACTTAGTTGACTTATGGAAAAACAGAAAAGAGTCCACTTGTTAGAAGAGAAATTCCAACCTCACTCTGAAAAGGCAGTACAGAACCTTGTCTCCTAACAGTTTCTAGTCAGGTCTTGTGCCAACTTATAATGCATGTTAATCAAGATTCATAAATCTTAATGGTCTAAACCCCTAGACTGAAGTTTAGGGAATACATTTTTTTTAAATCAAGAAAGCTCAACAGAAAAAAAGCTAATTGTATTCCACTACCTGCCCTCTATGAGACAGACCCTACTGTACAAGCAGTTGTTAAGTTGTCCCCAAAAGTCACTTAAGAATTTACAGCACCAGAGGGCTACCAACAGTGCTTAAGATCCTGACAAAAGTTAATTCCAGATGTGCACTTCCTTTCCATGACAGACACCGCAGAGATACTCCCCTGCCCCAGAGGTCTGGGGAAGCATCCGCAGTGCTAACACAGACTGCCTGAATCTTAATCTCTGACTTCTAGCCTCCAGCTCATGAGAGAACACATCTGTCATTTTCACACAATCTTGGAAGCCAACAGAAACTTTGAAATCCTATCGTTTGCTTCTTTTAATTTTCCTTGTGAAACATGTCCATCATAACATACCAGGTGTACCACTTCTTTATTGTAAGAAAATCTACCCTTCATCAAATACATGTGGCTGGAAAGGTCTTAGGTCTTAGAGAAAACCCCAAGGCTGTCATATCCTTAGACAAATGTAATTTCTTACTATGTGCAAAATATGGATCCTTATATTTACAGACAGGTATCCCAATCACCACTCATCAAAGAAGCTTCTTTTACAACAGATGGAGTTCCACAGCTGGTCACACACAGATATTGTCTATGAATTGCCCAAGTCTAAGTGGCACATCTACAATGCAACCTCTACCCCTAAGGCTCATGGAACATAGAACAAGGAGTAAAGAAGACAATAATGAATATCTCAATTCTCATCAATTAAGCTCCCTCATGCAGCAGAGACCAGGAACACAAAAGGTCACAAATGGCCAAAGTGTGGAGAGTAGGAGTCTGCAGAGTGTGGGTCTGTGGACAGGACTCCTACAGTAAACTCCACCCACCCAGGGCTCAGGGACCATTGCAGAAGAGGAGGCAGAAAACTGTAAGAGCCAGGGAGGAGGTGCACGACCATATGGAAACAGGGTCCTATAAGCTCCTGGGACCTTGCTCATATGAACCTACAGCATGCACAAGGCCTAGCAAACTGAAGAAGACAAAACCCCAGTACAAAACCATGGAAATGGGCAGCAGCGCCAAACTTAGTTGAAGAAATATTGGCAGCTGATTACTGCTGGGTGAGGAAGAGCTGATCTTCTTAAAGGGAGGGAATTTAGATAGACTAGGCCTCAGTGGATGAACTTGTGGGATATCTGGGAACACTAATTTGACAAGATAGGCCTTAACATAAATGACAGAATTATGAATTGCCGTTGAGGGTATGGGAGGTACCAATGGGGAAGGGGATATAAAGATGATTAGGATGTCTGTATGAAATACACAAAAGCTCAACTTAAAAATTTACAAAAAAAGAAAGAAAAAGCAATCTACCCTTCAAACACTTCCCTCCCTTAGTTATGGACCACCACCTGCTCCTTTTTCCTCTTGTGCTACCTCTGTCCCCTTTCTGCACCTCCAGCTGGCTCTCCTCTCCCGTCTTCTAAGGGAAGAATGGCACCCTGGTCAACATCCCCAGGTCCACCATGTTGTCAGAGGTCTCTTCCCATCTCCTGGTTTAATGTTTTTGTGGCTAGTTGCTCTTGAATCTGAATTTCCAGCAAGGAGCCCACTCCTGACCTCTACATTAGTAAATCCAATTGTCCAGCTCTTTCACTAGACCTCCACCTCAAACTGCCTAAAACTGAGGCCCTGATCTTCCTATCCATGCCTCCTCCTCTCACACTGCAACTCCATCTCTCCTGTAGACCATGACAGAACTCATAGGATAACCTCCAACATCTCTTCCTTTCACCCTTCACATCCAGCCTGTTAGGAAATCTTGTTCACTCTACACAGTTCAGAACTTATCCGGAATCCAATCTTCTAATTGCTTCCACTGTCACCACCTGGTCCAGGCACCATCATCTGTTCCCTCCTGGGTGGTCTGAATGTTAGCTCCCTCCCCAAATTCTTATGCTGAGATTCTAACTTCTAAAATGACTTTAATGGGAGATAGGACCTTTGAGAAGGGGTGTGGTCACGAGGGCAGAGCCTTCACGAATGGACTTAGTACTTTAGTGAAAGACATACAAGGGGACCTTGTGTGTCTTTCACCATGTGAGGACACAGCAGTTTACAGTTCAGAAGAAGGCTTCCCCTACAACTTGACTGTGCTGGCACCCTGAGCTCCATAACTGTGAGAAAGAAATATCTGCTATGTCTAAGCAACCCAGTTTAAGGTATTTTGTTACAGCACTGTAAAGACACTGAGACCTCTACACCATAGATAAAGCAACCTAACAACCCCAGCTGCCTCCCTACAGAGCATGTCAGCACAATAGCCAGCGATCTTTAAGAACCCAAGTCATGCCTTATTTATTCCTCTCCAAGAAAACGCTCAGTGCTCCCCTTGGAACAAAAAGCTAGCATGCACAGAAGCCTGTGAAGTCTCCCTACCTACCTGTCCCCTTCCACACAAGTTAGCATCTGACCTCAACTCACCTACTCTCTTACTTCCCAGAACAAGACCAGGGTGCTCTGGCCAACCAGCAGATTCCTCTGCCAAAACACTCTGCAAGCCACTGTCTACCTTGGCTTGTTCTTCATCACCTTCAAGTCATTGCTTAACTCTTACTGTCCGCTTGAAGCCCACCCTAATCACACTATCTAAACTGCTCCTTCACCCCACACTCCAGAATCCCCTTACTCTAGTCTAATCTAGTCTTGTCTCTGCAGTACTTCTCAGCTCTGACACACCAGCTTATTCTCTCTCCCCTCTCGGGATCACAGACTCCAAGACAGAAAGAACCTTTGTTTCATTCACTGATGTATCACAAACACTTAGACACTGAACTGGGGAGATGCTTCAATGGCTAAAGCACTTGCCACACAAGCATAAGGACTGGAGTTCCAGTCCCTAGGACCCACGTAAATGCCCAGTGGATGTGGCAGCTTGCCTATAATTCTAGAACTCTTAAGTGGAAACGGGATCTGTGGTACAAGCTTACTGTGTTGGTGAGTTCTGGGTTCAACTGAGAGCCCCTGCCTCAACAATAAGATGGAGAGCAACTAAACAGGATTTTTGACATCAGCCTCTGGCTCCACATGCATGTACACACGTACACACACATACACACACACACACACACACATACACACACGCACAGACGCATGCATGAACACAAACCCAAACACACATGTACTCCCCCCACACATTTAAACGTGCATGCACCCACACTACACACAGAGATACATGCAAACAAACAGTACTCAGAATGGTGCCCAGCATGCAGGAGTCTCATGATAAATGCTTCTAGAGATGTGAACCGTGACTAGCTGCAGAATGTCTGGATAATGAGTTACATATGATTTTCAGCAGGAACATCATCATCCTTCTTTCTCCTCCTGTGAGATGGGGACCCTCACTTTGTAGTTAGGAAAATTTAGGTCAAGTTTCTGGAAGACACAGACTGAAAATCCTGGTTTCCAGGCTCTATCAAGGGTACTTTCTCTGTCCCAAACCATTGTGTGGGGACAAAAAAATTATGCTTACTTTAAGATTCTACAGAATGAGACACTCAGGAGAAATGAACAGCACCTTCTTTTATTCCCAGGTAGTTTTTTATATTTATTTGTGTGTGTGTGTGTGTGTGTGTGTGTGTGTGCATACATGCACATGCCATGGTATACTGCACATGTGGAAGTCAAAGGACAGCTTTTGGAAGTCTGTTTTCTCCATGTGAGTCCTGGGGATTGAACATAAGTCCTCAGGTTTGGCAGCAAGCACCTCTGTATGCTCAGTCGCATTGTAGCCCATTGGTCCTTAAGAAGTAAGAACAATGATAGGTAGGCTAACTACACTTGTAATCATTATATCTGAACAAGCAGCGCTGCCTAGCTGTGGGCACCGTGTGCCCATCCTTTGCCTCCCTCCTTCCTTTTGCTACAGAAGAAAGCTCTATGCTCCTGGCTAGAGCCAGCATGGACATGCTCATTCACCAGTTCCAACACCCTCAATGAATTCCCCAACAAGCCTTTCTTCTCTCTAGGAGATCATTTCAACTGACACACAGGCATCAGGCAATATTAAAAATTATTTCCGCATAGCTGAGCATGGGGGCACATGCCTTTAATCCCAGCACTTGGGAGACAAAGACAGGCAGATCACTGTGAGACTGAGGTCAGCCTAGAATGGTCTACATAGTGAGACCCTGTCTCAAAGATGATAGATAGATGATAGATAGATGGATGGATGGACAGGTGATAGATAGATAGATAGATAGATAGATAGATAGATAGATAGATGATCGATGATAGATTTAGATAGATGATAGATAGATAGATAGATAGATAGATAGATAGATAGATAGATAGATAGATAGATAGAGCCCCTCTCTAGTCCTAACACACAGTGTCTGGGTAAAGCCAGACTTGTGCCTAGGGGAGCTCAGTGGCTGCCTCCTCCCCGACTTCTCCCATCCTCTACCCAGGCCATTCCAATCAGGCTTCTACTCAGTCACTCTATCACATCTTCTTCCCAAGGTCCACAATGGCTTCAACTTTGCCCAGCTTGTGTTCAACTCCAGCCTTCATTTTTAGTTCCTAAGTGGGGACCAGGACAGAGGTGAACTCTCCTCACTCCCTTCCTCCCAGGGTGTCACTGTTTCTCTTTCCAAGAGGAATCCTATCCTTTCCCTAACCTCAGGGAGGACCGCAAGCCAGCTCTTGGATCTCTTTCCCATCTATAACCAATTCCTCTTTGTTCCTGACAAGTGGTTTTAAATATACATGCTTATGATTATCAATTGCTTTTAGTCCTCCGCATAGTTACCAAACTTATAATAGGTACACGTGGTTCTTTCTAAAGACTACTCCTTCACAAATTCCAGTTCAATGATGTTGAGTCTCAAATTAATCTGGATGGACCAGCCTCTGCACCTCAAACCCTGGGCTCTTCCATTACCTAGGTCTCCTTATTCCTCCACAGAACTATCCTTTAGTGAAGAGGCATTCCCAACCGCCCCATTCCATGTCTCCAACTCTGTGGCTAGCCCATTATTGCTGCAGTATTTTCCATTGGGGCTTCATAACTGACATATTATCTACTGACTTTCTCTTGCCATCTTCACTGACATAAGCTCCAAGAGACAGAAAACTGACTGGGTCTTTTCTTTCTTTGCTTGCTTTTTTTTTTTTTTTTTTTTTTTTTTTTTTTTTTTTGTCTTTCTGAGACAGGGTCTCCCTGTAGCCCCAGCTGTCCTGGAACTCACTATGTAGACCAGGCTGGCCTTGAACTCACAGAGATCCGCCTGCCTCTGCCTCCCAAGTGCTGGGATTAAAGGCATGCGCCACCATGCCCAGCTGCTTGCTTTTATTTCACATTTTTCTTTTCTTTTGTTTCTTTCACTTCAATTGGTAACCCTTGAAGCATACTTGTTGACTCATTTAAGAAACCCAAACCCATTTTTTAAAAGCAGAGTAACTACTGCTGCCTTCCTTAGGAGATGGTGCAAATACGGCAGCTGACACTGACCAATCAAGTGGTAATTTAATTAGCAGTCAAATAAAGAAGGATCCAACCTCCAGCCTTTCTGGTCAACACAACTCACACTCACATCTCTCCCCTTAGGAAGGAGGAGTGAGGGCTACAGAAATCAGAGCCCCAAATAGCAGCAATCCTTCCACCTCAAATGCTACCAAAAGGACTCATTAACTCCTTTAGGCTTGGGTTACAATATTAGGTTAAGTATATTTGCTGTCCTCTAAACTAAATAAGAGCTCTATATACACATGACAAAATGTGGAAAGCAATTACCTCGACCAAGTTGTGTATCTTGCAGCCATCTTCCCGGATTAGCTTGTATTTTTTAGCAAACAGATCCCCCTTGTCTTCCAAGGTCAAGGCAGCCTCCCTTCTGGGCTCCCTCCGGGGCAGCAGCGGACACTCTGCCCAGGCCCGCATGGTTTGCTGGATTGCTTGCACATTGCTCTGAGTCTGTGTAACTCTGCGCTCCAGCTCGGCAGTGGCCATTTGTACCTTCTCCATGTAGTCCCAGAAGTCATCCTGCCATGTCAGCCATGTGGCTGCCATGTTGAGCTGCTCATCAATAGCTCCCAACTCATCTTCAATGAGAGGGTGTTCAACTTCCAGAAGAGTCTGTTTCAGTTTATTGTATCCTTGCACAAGAAGTTCAAGATTCCCAATGTACTGAGCAAAACAAGAACAGAAAAGAACAGAGAACAGAGGGCCAGATATGCTAGCACTTTATCTGAGAGGCACCAAAATAACAAACAACAATCTATTCAAAAGATATCTAATAGGGGCTGGAGAGATGGCTCAGATGGTTAAGAGGACCTGGGTTCAGTTCCCAACACTGACATGGCAGCTAACGATCAACTCTAACTCCAGTTCTGACACCCTCTTCTGGCCTCTACAGGTATTGCACTTGCAGGCAAAACACTCATACACATAAAATAAAAATAAATAATTTAACAAAAGATGCTAAGTATCAAAAACCACAAACCTTTAAAATAGTATTCTTTTTTTTGAAAATGGTTAAAGCTGAATCTGGTATGTCAGACTTCTTCAGCATCAAAAGGTATTTCACTTCTCTCAGTACAGCCACAAGCTATTCAAAGAAGATCAAGGATTAGTGCATAGTTTAAGAATATATTGTGGGCCAACAAGATGGCTCAGCAAGGAAAAGTGCTTTCTGTGTAGGCCTAACAACCTGAGCTCCATCCCTAGATGGGGCTGAAGAGATGACTCAGTGGTTATGAATACTTGCTGCTCTTACACAGAACCCAGGTTTGATTTCTTGAACAGAGCAGCTAACCACCATCTGTAACTCCAGCTCCAGGGGATCCAACACCTTCTTGTGGCCTCCATGGGTATTGCACACATGGTGAACTTATACACATGCAAGCAAAACACTCCATATACATACAATAAAAATCAATCAACCAATTTTTTTAAAAAGTCAGATATGCTGATGTCTACAATCCCAGCCCCAGAACTCTCACAGTGAGAGGGAAAATGGAAACAGGACAATCAACTGGGAGCTCATATGCCCAGCACAGTGGTAGAAATGAGAGACTTCACCTCAAACCCAAGGTGGAAGCTAAGAATCACCTCCCAAAAAACTGTCTTCTTAATTCCTCTCTCTCTCAATCTTTTTTAAAAGAATACATTTTTACTTTAAGAGTTTAACTTGAAATATTTAAAATGTCAACTAATAGCTACTTTATTTCCAATTTATCAAAGCAAACAGACTTTTGCTTCATGTTTTCAAAACCCTAAATGATACATGTGATTATCCAGTAAGGCATATGAACTTTACTATGTTTATATCTTCTTTTAGCTAATTAAAATTTCATCCTGAAATCCTAGATTTACAGAATCCACAGACTACACAGAACCTGTTAGGCTTTGGTAGATGGTGGTCATAATTTTTCTCAATGGGAAAATAAGATTGTGTATTGTGGTTAAAGCAATGATAATCTGGACTATCCCTAAAACATTTCAAGCAGTTGACTTCATACTTGTCCTAAGTTAGTTCTGTCAACTTGACATAGCCTAGAGTCAGCTGAGAAGGCAATCTTAACCGATGGATTTCCCAGATCAGATTGGCCTATGTGCATCTCTATGAGAATTGTCTTGATTATTGATTGATGTAGGAGTGCCCAACCTACTATGGGCAGCACCATCCCCTGGGCAGGTGGTCCTGGGCTGTGTAAGAATGCTTGCTAAGCACGAGCCTCTGAGAGAACCAGGAAGCAGCATTTCTGGATGGCTTCTGCTTCAAGTTCCCACCTGAGTTCCCGCCCTGACAGCCCCCATTGATGGACTTTTAACTTCTCATATAAAATAAACCCTTTCCTCCCCTAAGTCGCTTTTGGCTCTGGTGTTTGTCACAGAAATAGAAAAGAAACTCAAATAATACTTAAATGTTATGTTTATATTAAAATTTCACTACTCATCTATTTTGAAATAAATGCCATTTCCAGAAGAAAATTTATTTTGAGAAAAAAACATGTAACATTTGCAGTATATCCTGGCGAAATCTCCCCACCCAGTCATGACAGCTGTCTAAAGAACAGAAGCCCCTACCCACTAAAATCATCTGGAAGGAAAGGAAGAAAACAAACCAGCTTTATAAAATAAGAGTTCTCAGTTTTCTCAATTAAATATTTAGGTATGTGTGTCAAATTTCATTAGCAAAATTAAGCAATGCTGATATTTGTTTTTAGGAAAACGTCAGTATTAAGGTATAGGACATGACCCTTAAATTTAATAAGTCAACTCTTCTACTTCCTAGGCATGCATTTGAACTGCCAGGGAAACTCTGGATAATCACTTACACAAAAGTGAATAAACGTCATTACCTGATCTGCCAGATCCTGGCACTACCTTTTTTTTGTCATAGAAAACTTTCAAATAAACTTGCCTTTTATTGTTATGCAAATCCATCGTAGGTAAATAGAAAATAATGATTATTTTGTGCCTCATCTAGAAAGCTAAAAGACTGGAGATAGGTTGTTCAAAATATGTATACATGTGAATGCATATATATGTACATATATATATACACATATGTTTATGGCACATGCACACCTTGAAATTATATGTACACATACATGCATATGTACATGACTGCCAAAAACAGTTCCTGTATTGTCATTTTATATGTTTTATAATTAGCCATGTGTATGGGGTGCATAGCTATAATCTTAGCAGTCGGGGATAGAAGCAGGATGATCCTAAGTTTAAGGCCAGTCTTGGTTACATGAGACTTTACCACAAAAAAAAAACAACCAAAACAAAAAAAAAAAAAAAAAAAAAAAAAAAAAAAAAAAAAAGGGGCTAGAGAGATGGATCAGACGTTACGAGCACATGCTGATCTTGCAGAAGATCCAGGTTCAGTTTCATTTAATCTGTGTATTCCCCATATCTTAGCCTTCATGCTCTAATTAACTAAAAAAACTAGTATTTGTTATGAAAATACACATGGCAGAAGCCATTTGGTAAAGATGAAAGATTCAGTCCAGCTGAGCTCACATACACCGAGGTTCCCAAGTATCAGACATGATGCTGAAACACAGATTAAATGAAATGGTTCCCACCAGAAGTTGTTCATATCAAGTGAGTGACAGATGCTAAAGAAATAAATACAAGACATCAACTAATTAATGATAAACTGAGGAAGTGGGCAGGCCTGAGGGGCGCACTCCTATAATCCCAGCTACTCGGGATACAGAGACAGAAGGATTGCTAATTTAAAGTTTTCTGGTCTACAAGGTGAGTTCAAAGTCAGCCTGGGCAAGAGTGAGACCCAATCTTTAAAAAATAAATAAATAAATAGGAATATAATAATAAATAAATAAGGTACAAATAAGTTCATGGTAGAGTACTTGCCTAGAATCCATAAGGTTCTGGGTTCAATCAAACATATATGCATACCGGGAGGGGGGAGGGACGACAAAGAGAAAGAGAGAGAGATAAAAATATCTCTGTAAAACAAAAACTTTCTGGAGTTTGAACTTATATTCCTCACAACACTGACATCTTCCCAAAATAACGTATAAATGATTGGAAATGTACTTTTCAAAGCAACAGAAGAATCTAAGGAACATACTTACCATGAAAATAACACCTATAAGTCATCTTAGAAAATCAAATCCCTACCTTTGGGTCAAAGTTGACACTAAGAAGACCATTTATGGCACTAAATTTAACCAAGGGTTGATTCAGATTGAATTCACAAATTTCGTCCACATTTCTTCTCCATTCATTATAGATATGACTTTCAAACTGGTCCAGCAAACTGGTCATTTCAGCATATTTCTGATAAACTGCAGCTTCATCAGGATTGTCCAAGAATCTGCAGGAACAAGGTTTTTCTACTTTTCTAGACACTTCAGCGGAGTGCCACATATTTTACAATAGAGAATGCACAGAGTATGATAAGCAGAAGCAATGAAGACAATCCAATGCTTTTAAACTGTTTCTGCGTTAAGACAGGTAGAGCTCTAAATGAATACATGCAGCTCCAAAGACTTACTAAATGTCAGTAGCAACAACTTATCACTTTCTAGCAGGACATTAAAAAAGGCACAGAGGACTACACAATAGAAGGTGTACCTGTCACTAAAGAAAGGAAAACTAAACCTTCCAAACACATTGTGAATGAAGAAGAGAGAGATGCTAAAGGAAGTAGAAAATGACTAAATATATGCAGTTATAAGGATCCCATTAAAATATTCTAAAACCACAGAGATGAAGCCCTCCCACTGAACCCAACCATGAGCAGAGTAAGGCTGAATCTTGTTAAGCACAAACACGAACCACTCACAGTTCTGTATAAAAATCTCCCATAACCCAGCTGTGGTGGCAAGCGCCTATAATCCTAGCACTTGGGAGGTGGAGGCAGGAGGATCAGGACTTCAAGACCATCCTCAGCTACATAGTGAGTCTGAGGACAACTACATGAGACTGTCTCAAAACAAAACAAAATAAGACAAAAACACCCATAACATTAGCATAATTTACCATGAAGTCAATCTAACTACTTACAGATAATGGAGAGATGTAAGGTTTGACCAAAACATTTGAAGCCGTTCATGGAGCTCTCTGGCCCATTTAATATTTCCAGAGGTGAATGCCATATTCTTGTTAAGAACGATATGTCCATGTTCAACCTGCAAATCGATGTTTTCATGAAGAAGGAACAGAACACTTAGGCGCCATCCAACCTTTTGGGCAGTTGGTTGTTTTGATACTTTCATAGCAGGATTAGACATGGGTGTTAATAACTTAATTAAAGGAAGAGTTAAGGTTCCAAAGCAAATTCTCCTTCACCATAAGAAAACCATTAAACAAAAGCACTGAGTTGGGGGGTGTAGCTTAGTGATAAGAGTTTTTGTCTAGCATGCATGATGCTAAGTTCAGTATGGGTTCAATCCCCAGCACTGAAAATTATTCAGTATTTACATAGAAGGACACCAATTTCCATTTCTGAACTATAATCCATCCAGTAGATCTAATCTTTACATATAATGAAAGTAGTCCCAGTTGATAGCCTTTACTGACAGTCCTGGGACAAGCTCACCTGCTTTGTGTGTTCATCATACAGTTGCTTACACATATCCAACTCTGCATTAAACATGTTCAACAATGTGCTGTAATGTGGGCTGAAGATTTCCATGACAACTGGTTTTTCTAGAAAATTCCCAAATATGGTCAAAAGCTATAAAAATCAAAGTTAAGGAAAGGTTAAGAATTATGTGTTTTTAATACAAGCATTCAGCTCATGACTTCCCCCATTAAACTTCTTATGCAACTAGAGGCAAAGTCTAGAACTCTAAAATCCCTTTGAATGCCACAAAAAGCAAAACATACTTTGCATCTTCCTGAAATTCTATATAACCAATAAGCCAAATTCTAGGTGAAATTTCTTTGCTTCAGTGGAAATTGAGAGGGTTAAAAATGAGCAACTGTCTATCAGCAGTATTAGTTCAGAGGGAATACTACTTCCTATTGGGTGTCAAGAAACATTTTCAACTTGCTTTGTGTATTAAGGGCAGAAGCAACATTTACACTCATGTTATATGGCTTTTTCTTCTGACACATGGAGGGCCTCTTGGTCATACCATCAGCATTACACTAAATGTACCAATCACAGTGACTGCTCTGCCGTTCTCTCATGTACCCAAGACCTAGTCGCTTCTAACAGTGGCTTGGGGCAACAGTGGTTACTGTTCTGAAAACACCTCATTTGACATGAATGTCCTGACTCAAGGACATTGAGCTAATCAGATTGTCTGTTTCTCAGAAACAGCATGTGGCTGGCTGAATCCATGCAGCCTAAAATTACAAGCAAGCAGAAAGAACCAGCTAGCAGAAGGAGCCAGTGGAGAGAGAGCGGGGCGGGGAACAAGGTGTACTGACCAGCATCAGGTGCGACACTGTGAAAATCTACACTCTCCATTTCTCACCAAAGGCTCCTAGGTTTCCCAGGAGCTTCCCTACCAGTTTCTAGGAAGACTGGCTGCGTTTACTGTCTGATATGGATTATTTTATGTGTTAGCATGAGATGGTTTTCCTCACAAGAAAAATGATGTACTTAATGCAATATTTGATGCAACAAGAGTTTATATAGCACGATGTGTCAGACATGATTAACTAAGGGTCTTAAAATACTATTATCAGAGACTCCACCTGAGAAAACTGAATTGTGTGGTGGGAGTAACTTGAAAAAATTCATAAGGCTAGTGGCAGCGCTGGAATTTAAAGCCAGGCCCCATGCTTCACTAGGCACCCCTTGTAAGCAAAGGTGCTATCGAAACTTATGTCACAGTAGTCTTTCCCATCGAAGGTCTTGCTTTCTACACAGCCAGTTACTAGTGGTTAACTGCAATCCAAAAAGATCAAACAAAAATTTCTAGAAGCAAACAATTTCATAAACTTGTCAATTCTGTAATTTTATAGTACACCATTAATATTATTCTGTTTATCATCAATATTATTAATCTTACAGTGCTTAATTTATAAACTAAAATTGATCATAGGTACTCAAACATAAGAAAATATATAGTATTCATAGAGTTCTGTGCTATATAAGTTTCAGACATCCCCTGGGGATACCTATGTGTACTTTGTAATATGCCTATTATTATGTATTTTATATTGACATTTTTTCCAAAAAAAGACATCTCAAAATAGCCAAGTATATCTAAGGTGGCAGAAAACTCGAATCCCAAGACTTCTGCTTGTTAGCAATATGAAAGAGAATTTTGCTCTGTTTTTCTTTGGGAAGCAATAGGTATCCCTCAAAGCTTTCATTGAAAAACATCTTCATTATAAAATTTTGCAAACACTCCTGTAAATTACACTCACTGAAAATAACATGGTGAAACTTATGCAAATTATCATATAAGTGTAGCTATATCTCAGGGGCCAATTTACACAAACACATTCTGGCTTCTTCTGGTAACAACAATTATAACTATAACAGAAACTACCAAGTATTTTTAAATCCACTTGGCTAGCTACCTAGCAAAATGTGAATTATTAACTTTCTTCTTGTGGCCATTGATCTGTTGAGTTGGGGGTGCATGTGAATCCCCAAGTCAACACTGTCTCCTAGGTTAACAAAGCGAACCCCAGCAACAACTAGAAATATTCTTTCACAACACTTAGGCTCACCAGAAGCATCCTAGCTAGCATCAGCTTATCTGGCGTACACATTGAGTATAAAAGAGAAAGACAGAGAAAATGCTCTTGGTAGAACCTGAAAGCTGAGAAGTGGTAAGCTTCATCCTGTTGGACAATACACATTACCACAATCACTCATCACCATAAATACATCTCTCCAGGATGAGAGCAAAAGTCACTGGAACCTCCCACGAACCTCCCACATCTTTGCAGCAGAATAAAGGCTGTTTTATGGTTTTGGTGTTCTCCTCACATTGTCCTGCAGCCCTGAGGACTGAGTCCTATCTCTCCAGGATGAGAGCAAAAGTCACTGGAACCTCCCACGAACCTCCCACGTCTTTGCAGCAGAATAAAGGCTGTTTTATGGTTGTAGGTGTTCTCCTCACATTGTCCTGCAGCCCTGAGGACTGAGTCCCGCCATGGTTCTTTTCCTAAATATCCTATTTCAAAACTTTAATGTTTGTTTATTTTCCTCCATGTCTCAGTTTCCTAATGTAGAACCGCTTTTCACAGCTGTACTGCACTGTCCAAAGTTTTATTTTTCATGGGTTTGCTTTGTTCAAAGGTTGTTTTTTTTAATCTGTAGGCACCTGAACCACATATATACCAAGTATTTATGATTTTCAAATGCTGGTTGACTATAACATCACAAACGTCTGGAGTCAGAAGTATTTTAGATTTCAGGCTTTTTGGAATATTTACACACACATACACACACACACATATATATATATATATATGTATATAATGAAAGATCTTGGGGATGAAGCACACAGCTAAATGTGAAATTCATTTATACCATCTACTCATAGGCTGAAGGTAATTTTTATAATATTTTAATAGCTTTGTGCATGAAACAAGCTTTAATGATGTAGAATGTTCCACTTGTGATGTCATGCTGGATCTCAGAGTATTTGATTTTCTGAAGTTCTTTCAATTTCAGATTTTTGGATGGGAAAACATTCTAACCTGTATGTTATCTAAAATCTTTCTTGGACACTTCTTCCCTAAAAATTCCAACTTACCTTGATGCTGAGCTTAGAGAGCATCAGGCATTAGTGCTGTATTTTATTTTTTAATGAGGCCAACACTACCACAGGTTTTTAAGTACTAGAGGTTTATACTAGAGTAGAACGGTGTTCAGTTTCCTTCCTGATCATGTACTTGCCAAAAATGGACACCAAACTGTCATGTTTTAGGAACAGCCTACAAATTTCTTCGCTAGCACTAACAGTAAGTGATCCAAGTTCATCAACCTGTACCTGGTTGAAATAATTTTTCCCTGAAGTATACAACCCTGTAAATTTTTTCTTCTGCCACTACTTTTCCAACAATGTCATTTCTAATTCCAGTACTAACCTTAGGCCATTAGTAAGCACTTGCTATCTACAAGGCTCCTAAACCTAAGGAAAGCTATATGAGGGTACCCCATCATTTTAGGGTTTGTAAGGTAGGATTTCATCATTATTTTAGTAGTCAAGGTACAAATATGTGGAATGTTTTGAAAATAACCACAACAATAAATTGAAATTGTTTAGAAAAAATAAACTGGAGTATATTTTAATAATCCGTATTAATGGTTGTAAGACGGCAAGAAGAACAATTTGAATGAGTTTTCTAATTTAACAGAACAGTCTCTATAATTGAGATTTCATTGTTATTTCTTCTAGTTACCTACAAGAGCTTAAAAGAAGACAAGCTCCAGTAACATAAATACAAGGGACTACTGTACAAACAGTGAAAAGCACTACTGTTCAATTCTGTTACAAAGGCAAGAAAAATACTAATGATGCTTGAAGTTGAAAAGGTTACAAAGAGGATCAGAATATTGTTTTATCCAAGAAACATGTCTGTACATATTTGCTCTAAGAAAACACAGAAGCCCATTAAATGTAATTATTTGTACTCAAGAGTTGAAACTACAGCAACACACTATATATTTTGGCAATAAGCATCTTAGTTTTACCTGAGAGTTTTTGTTTTTTGTTTTATTTTTAAACAGGTACTATCTGATTCTTATTAGTCTTCCATGTCAAAGTTTTCAATTGAAGTTAGAGGACACAGTATTTCACCAAGGTTGGCCAACTCATTTGAATTTGGAACTCAAAATCAAACATCTTTAAAAATCTGTCAGCTGTATTACTTTGCACTGCTATTCTCAATAAATTGTGCTCATGATTTTCAACTGTTTGGATATTAAGAGCTCAATTTCTCTTTTGTGATAGCACTTAATATTAATTTACACTTGACTTGGAATTCGCCTTTTTTTTTGAAAAACAAGTTTTACAATGCTCCTTTTCCCATATTACAAACTCTCCATTTACAGAACTAGCAAAATACTTTTCTTTTACAGAATTTCCTTCTCTCTCTCCCTCTCTCTCCTTCCCTCCTTCCTTCTTTCCCAGGGCCTTCTATGTGATAGGGAAGCATTCTACCACTGACCAACATCCCCAGCCCTTTATAAAATACACATATACTCTATTTAAAGTCTTTGAGGAGCTGGAGAGATGGCTCACCAGTTATGAGTACTGGATGCTCTTGCAAAAGACCCAAGTTTGATTCCCAGCACCCACATGGTGGCTTACAACCATCCTTAACTCAAGTTCCAGGGGATCTGACACCCTCCACTGACCTCCGTGGGCATTGCATGACACAGGTGTTCTTACATGCATGCAGTCAATACACTCATACACATAAATTTTTTTTAATTTTTAAGTTCTTTGAAGCCAGGCATGATAGCACACAACTTTAATCTCAGCACTCAGGAGGCAGAGGCAGGTGGATTTCTGTGAGATCAAAGCCAGCCTGGTCTACATAGTGAGTTCCAGGCCAGCTGGGGCTACAGGGAGACCCTGTCTCAAAAAGACCAAAAAAAAAGTTGTTTGACCAAACATTCTTTCATGCTTCATTAGCTCTGACATCAGACTGTGTTATATAATCAATGGAATTATAATTATTTGGCAGCATTTTTCTTTATTGACACATAAATAATGCTTAGTAATCAATGCTGTCTTATACCCAATGAAATACAGCTATTACTTATTATTTGCTTCAGTCAGAGTAATAAAGTAGGCAGGTGAACCCATCATTTGTAAACAATATAAAGAAAAAGAATTACTGAATTAATGGGCTTCTTTTTTACTTTTCACTGTGGCTTGGTGGTAAATCAATACCTCATTGGCCCACGTCAAACCTGCTCTACAAGAAATGAGAGCAAACTGAGGGTGAACGCGAGAAAAGATCAAGAGTTAAATATCCCAAAAATGACCTTCCCAAAGCAAACCTCAGCGCTCCATAGGGCATTATTCAACTTTATTATTCAGTGGGCTGAAGGTGAAGGGAACTAATCTGGTTAATATTTTACCTGAATCCGGAAAGAATGTATTCCCCTCCTTTCTAATAGTCTAAATTATTCATTTTCATGGGCGCTTCAAGCAGAACTAACCTTAAATGCAGATTCCAAACCACTGCAGTTACAAAAACCTTCACACAAAAGCGTCCCAAGCCTTCTGTCAAAATTCAGGGTTTTGGACTTAAATGCAACATAATCACTTTCAAACTCCTGTAAAATGCAAAGTAAAATATTAGTTTACAGGAAAGAACTCAACAGTGAAAACAGCAGTCATATAAGTTTGACATTATTTGCTCTCAGTGTCTGGATTTGGTTTTCATTGCAGGATTCCAGAAAAGATCAACCAACAGCTGTATCTGACTGAGTGCTCAAGTGCCCACCTTCCAGGGTCACTGCCTGCTTAGTATGTTGCCCATGCTTTCACAAGGCTCAGCCCTAGAAGTCTGGCCCCCACACTCCCAAGTGAGCATTGGCCTACCTGCCTTCCTCTGCTCATCATGATTATAAATGAAAAGTAGCAACTTTCAGAGCATCCTTATTATAACTTTAGGGCATCTGCGAGTTTAAACAGAAAGCTTTTGTTGTTTGTTCATGGGATAGAAAACCTACATGAAAGCACTGTCTCTTCAGGTGAGACTGAAATCCACACTTCCATAAGAAAACCTCATTAGTGATACAGAGGAAGCAGAAATACTCTGATATTTTCCCAGGTTCTCATTAATATGCAGCTGACAACCCCCAGCTTCCTCCTCGTGCATAACCACCCACTCCCATAATTAGAAGGAAGGAAACTGTGAGGGAATAACTACATCTGTGTAGTACTGCAATTCTGCCTTTGTTGAAGCTGTCCCTAGGATGCACAATGCTCTGGAGCCTCACAGTGGGGAAGCCAGAAGTGCACACCCCAGCTTAGCACAGCGTAGCCTCGGCACCTCCTAGACTGCGTCCCTTACCAACAATACCAGCAATAACAGTCATGATACTGCACGTCTACCTCCGTTCTAAATGCTTTACCTTAACTCAATCTACATAACATACAAAACAAGTTAATATTTTTTCCATTTTATAAGTAGCAAAACAAATTCATGTGGCAAGAATCATTTTTATATTTCTTTGAGACAGTGATTGTGAAAGTTGGGTTTTCATTTTAATTCCATTCACCATTAACGTAAAAGGAATTACACGCGACTAGATACTGAATACATTTGTCTCACTGACCCATGTGGAAGGAGAGTGATTTTGCCACTTTAAATTTTTCCTTGTTTTCTTCTGGTTTGAACTCAATCAAATCAATCAACTATAGTGTTGGTTAATATGTAAATTATGGGACCAGAGAGATGGTTCAGCAGTTAAGAGCACTGGCTGCTCTTCCAGAGGACCTGGGTTCGGTTCCTAACATCTACATGGCAGCTAGCAACACCCTCTTCTGGCATCCATGGGAATTGTGCAACACCAGTACATGCAGGCAAAACACTCATACACATAAAATAAAAATAAATAAATAATATATTTAAAATTCAATGTGTAAATTATACTGCTATATATAATGCATAGTTTTATATATACAAATAACATAGTCAAAGAAGGTAACTAATTTGTTCAAGAACACACTGTTAGTAAATGGCAGGGCCAGAATTTTGAAGGCAAGCAATCTGGCTCCTGATCCCCTCTGGATCATGAAGCTGCTTCTATGAAGAAAGGCACTTGTGATGGCATCAGTGTTTGTCTAGCCCCAGATTCCTGAAATACTAATATCCAAGGAAGTGGTGATTTTGAGAACTGATGAAGTAAGGCCAGGGCCTTTTTAAATAAAAGGGATCCATGCCCTTATAAGAAGGCCCAAGAAAGGTTCTCATACACCCACCCACATGAGAACACAGTGAACTGGTTCTGTGAAAGGAGGGCAGGCCTCTCCAGACCCTGAATTAGTTGATGCCTTGATCTTGAATCTCTCGGCCTCTGGAACTATAGAAAATCAATTTCTCGTGTCTATGAGCCACCCAGATCATGGCCTGTTGTTAGAGTAGTCTGAACAGATTAAGAAAGTTCCTTACATTGAATTTAACTTGGACTGGAAAACAGAGTGCAATGGCAGAGTTCTAGAACACTCTGTGTCAAATACCACAACACTGTATTTAGCATCAAGAGCACAGCTCCACTTCTGAATTCTAGCCAAGCAGCCTCTCCATTCAAGGATCACTGACTTAGAAGTAAACACAACTTCCCAACAAGTTTCAACACGCCTTGCACATACTTCCTCTTCTCAATATAGAAACAAAGAATGAACACTCTATAATCCTTAAATGCCATTTGACCCTTAGAGACAAGTAACAACTCAGAGGAGGAAGAAATGCTTACCTCCATTCTGACATCCTCCTACATGGTGTGTGGGGGTGGTGATAACATGGACGGACTTGGACAGACAACAACTCCTACATTCCTGAAACCAAATTTAGGACTAACCCCATAGGACTTCTCCCTTAAAAAGGCTAGCAGGGAGGGACTGAGGACAGTTCACTCACAAAGTGCTTGCCTGGGAAGCAGGAGGACCTGAGTTTGATCCCCAGAAGTCATCTAAATATCCAATATCCAAGATTGTCTTCTGGCCTGCATGTGCACCCACATGCACTTGCATACAAATGAACACAAACACAGTAAGAAGAAAGTCACAGAGAGAAGTCACACTTGCCTTGTACAATCTGAACCTATCATCTTCTGTGTCAGGCTGTTCCTCTTATAAACCCCAAAAGAAGCTTGGGAAGCCCCTGTGGCTTCCTTCCCTCTCACAAGTGCTAGCCATCTTCTCTCTTAACTGTGACTATGACTGTTCACCTTCCCCAGCATCTTCCTCCAGCTACCACCAGCTACTGTTCACCTAGAGTACTGTTTCCTGCTCTGATTCATCCTCCAAACTGCAGCCAAAATCATCTTTCTAAAATAGATGTCTTCTGTCACTTATTCATACTCCTGTAAATTATCATCTCAGTTCAGAAACCTGAATTTGGGGAACTAGAGAGATTGGCTCAGAGGTTAAAAGCACTGATGCTCTTGCAGAGGACCTGGGTTCAGTTCCCAGCACCCACATGGCTGCTAACAATCATCTATAACTCCAGTTCCAGGGACTCCAACACCCTCTTCTGGCCCCCGTAGGCATTACACAAATATGGTGTACTTACATACATGCAAGGGAAATATTTGTACACATGAAATAAAAAAAAGTAGAATTTATAAAAGAAAACTGAATTTGTTAAAACAGCATAATCTTAGTGGGATCCTCAAGGCTTGTGTGGCCTGGACCTTACTGATGGCTCCTAACTATTCAGACATTACTCCAAAGTTCCTACTCTCGATCTAGCCACATCCCTTCATCCCCAGCGCCCTTTGCCAACTTCTCTTTACTTCCTTTCTGTTCTCATCCACTCACCCACATGAGGTCTCTGCATATTTTCACCTCCAGCACAGGACTTTTGCAGATGCTTTCACAGCACTCTGTTCCTTTCATACCCTGACACACTGCATACTAATTGCCTGCCTGTATTCTACCCTGGATTTTAAGTCAATAAGCCTAACAACCAGGCTTATTTTTTCATAGTGCTAATACCAATATTTCATGGGGTTCCCAGCTTGTAGCTGTTTCTCAATAAATATTTATAGGATAATAAATGATGAGCTAGTATTACTTGGGAATCATTATAAAAATGTTTCCATATTCTGGAAAGTACAAAATTGCCTTTATTAGCATCCTGGGAAGCTATTGAAGGGTTTTAATTAGAGAAAAGTCATGATTTGACTTAGCATGAGAAAGGCTCTCAAGTTGCCACATGGAAAATAGATTAATGAAGCCAAGATAAGCTGGAGGGAGCAGTTTACAGGCAAATGCCATAGTCTAGGTCAGAAATGAGCCATAGATGCACTTCCAGGGTACACCAGGATGAGTCGGATGTCGTGAGAAAATGAGTGAAATTATGGATGGCTCAGCACAATTATTTGTGAGATTTAATGAGTTGAAGAAAGTCAAGAGTTGGTTTGGGGATGAGTTAAGCAAGCTTTGAACAAGTTAATTTTGAGTTCTCAGTGGAGACAGTAATTAGGCAGCTGAACATGCTGTGTGTTCAAGATGTAGGGAAATCTTTCACCATTACATACAGTGCTTTAGGTTTTTGATTGGTGCTCTGCATCTATCTGAGGAGTTTCTTTATTCTTGCCTTTGTGGGGGGCATGAATGGATATTAAATTTTGTCAAATTTATTTTCTGCAGTATTTAATACACTTGTGGGATTTTTTTTCTCATTTGGCTTATTTAAGAATCCTATATGCCATACAATTTTACATCATTTCTGTTCCTCATGTGTCACATTAAATCTCTAGACTTGTTTATTCTATATACCTGTTATTCTGTATCTTTTGACCGAGGGGATTAAACTGAAAACTACAAATACTTGTTTCAAAGTCATATCAAATATTGAACCTGCTTTACAATCCTGGAATAAATCATCTTTGACATGTTGATGTGAATGCAGATTGGTAAAGCCATTGTGAACAAGTGTGAGAGGTTTCTGAAGAAATTAAAATACTACTACTATATAACCCAATGACACATTCTGAGGATATGTTCAATAGAGATGAAATCTCCTCATAAAAGCATCTTCACTCACATGTTCACTGCAATATAACTCAGACACTGGGATATAGAAACAATGTGATGGTCAACACACAAATGCATAAAGAAAATCACACAGACATATACATACCTCATACACACACACTCATAGCATATACACAATGGATTGTTACTCTGCTTAGAAAAAGGTGATCTTGTCATTTGCCACAACAGAAATGTACCTGAAGGACATTATGCAAGTGAAATGAGACAAATACTAAGAAAAATAGTGCATGATCTCACTGTCTGTCCGTGGATCTGAAAACAAGCAGTCAAACACGCAGAGATAGAGAACACAACTGTGATGCTGGTAGTAAGGTGGGAGAGAGGGAGAGAGATCCCTTGAGGGATATAAAATAGCAGATATACAGAATGGAGAAATCTAGAGAGCTAATGACATAGCAAAACTGTATTTGGGATTTTAAAGCCAGATTTTAGCTGCTCTTGTCACACAGAAACTATGTAGGAGGACAGATATGTTAATTTGTTTCACTAGGTAACCTTTTGACTCCTGTGTCTTATAAGATCTTAGTGCAAACTTCAAATATGA